GTCAGTCACTCTGTCTGAATTTGACTATTTTAATCACAAAAGGGGAATTTTCCGAATATAAATGGATTGTCAATGTTCGTGATATAAAAATGGCCCTTAATATTATAATTAGCCCAAATGGATAAAGTGTCATTAGTAGTTCAATCCATAACTTCTTTATCCAGTGAGGCTGGTTCATCGCTATCATCAAGTGAATCCAGAACCAAAACACTGAACCTTATCTGCAACTATGGAAGTAATCGTATTGTGGAGTATGCAGCTTATTAGCCATACGTTCGTAAATTCTGGTTTTTAGCTTCCTTACCGTCATACCTACCTACTGCAACAATTATCAGATAGTTATGCAAAACCTGTTCTCACTAATAGAATTAGTATGACTCCCCTTGAAAGTTTTTATTTTCATGTCTGTAGTCAAAACCGTGTGTGGTGTGCGTGTGTTGTACCCTATTTACTCGTGGTCACAGTAAAACTTTTCAACTTCAGCATCTTTATAGAACTAGTAGTAACAGCAAATGACGAATTAGTATACGATGAGATTAGATAGAATAACTGGGTGGCGAAGTGGTGGAGCGAGTGATGGTAGGACCGGACGGAACGCGGTGGCGGCGTGACGACGACGAGAGTCGAATCCGATGTAGAGAACCATTACTTGTGTTTCACTAGGCCTTTTATACGGTAGTTGCCGCGTCATTCTTGCCAACGGTATGGTAGGTGGTCAAAATAAGACCACCCATCGTGATCGCCGGGCAGTCACCGGGCCATGTTTCTTCGATCTTTTCTGACACTGTATTTCAGAATACATGTGATTGTTCGTGTCTGTAACACTACAGACTATACCTTGTTGATCACAGTTACAACCATTATTTCTATTCCAAAAATCTTTTAAGATGTAGCTGCTGGCCTCTCTACTTTGAGGATTTTGGAATTTTGTTGTAGTGTAATAACTCTGGGATCTTACATTTTTGTTTTTATATTTTCAGACCTACGATATAAGCACAAGAGTGGTCCAGCCCAAGTGCAGTGAGGAGTTTTGGGGAGGCTTTTGCTGAACTAGCCCAGCGATCGCGAACCCTCTTTGTTCCTAGATGGAAGCGCTACGGCGCAAAAATTAACCCTTCTTTGCCATTCTGACCAGTATTACCCCGTCAGCGCAATCCCTACTTCTGAGTATAAGAGGTATAGCCTCTTTTATTATATATGTACGAGAAATGTCTAGGGATTTTGTAACAATCCCGAAAGTGAATAAAAATGAAAAAAAGACAAAAGGAGAAAGAAAGAAGAATTAGAGATAGAGGGGCTAACACGTGATAATTTCGCAAATGCTGTAAGGAATTTTGCAAACGTGTTAGACTTTACAAGAGTGGACAATGAAAGAAGGTGCGATCTGCCATATCATAGTCGCACATCGTATATAGACTCGCGTTCTGCAGACAAACTGCGTTTAAAAAATGAAATAATTATGAGCATATAGGACCACAACACTTGCTAGCT